TTTTTCAACAATCAAATGAGCAGGCTAAATGAGGGAAAGCCAGGTAAATTCAGAGGTATTGTAAATTGCGAGTAAAAACTCCACAATCAGCCCTTAAATCCTATTAAGCGAGCTTGCTTATCAAGTCCTTATTCTATAAGTACTAATACTTTAGGAGTATACTTATTAGGGATATAAGTAATGTCGTCAAGCGTAATGGCAAATACATGTTTACCTCATCGAAAATGCTTGTCTCGATCGCTATATCTATCCTTTGGCATGTCAACGCTTGTGGCATGAATGAAGAAGTTCTTACAAAAGCAAGTGGCTTAAGCTGTTATAGTGACCAATCTCTACCCTTTTTAACTATAACGGTTTGATCTCAGAGTAATGAATCTTCCTCCTAACCCCTCCACTTGTCCATCGTTAGAATCCCGCTCGAGGTTGTGAGAGGAGAAAGGGAATTGGCCAATAATCTAGTCGAAGCTGTAGATGAGAAGAGCCTTCTGGAATGCATGGAAAAGTGAACTCCAATGCAAAATGCAAGTTTTTCCATCATCTCATCGTGAGTGAAATTGAGTAGAAAATGCGGTCAAAACTGGTACAGCTCTACGGCTATCAAACTGTTGAAACTGCCTGGCAAAACCGTTATTAACCTCAAGATTGCAAACTGTCTTCTCTTCAGCTAATCTACAACCCTCAACCTATTCACTCGATATAGAAGGGTGTAGAATTATACATATTTTCGGATAAATCAATCAGTAAAATAAAATAAAAAACAATAAAATAAAATAAAATAATAAAAATATCAAACCAATGAGCAAGAATAAATTATACGAAAAAAAGTTGCTTTTCGACAAATCTCTTGGTTCACAATTCTTGAGCTCACTTCCATTTCGAGTGGAAGTGTTTGATGAAGAGATTTGAAGGTCGACGGAGGATTCCTATTGACCAGCGGTCGACTTGCTTTACTAGAACCTTCTTGCTGGCACTGTTTTCGAAGCAATATCCTCTGATTCCGGTGAAAACGTGCTAAGCTTTCAGGATATGAAGAGAGGCTTGGTTTCGAATAAAACTCATGATTCGATTCTGATGACTTTTTTTCTTGACTTGTTAGCTTCTATGTAGTTGTAAGGATAATGCCCTGCTCTAATGATGCTGCCTATAAGACGAACGAAAGCTCTACACACTTTCAACAGAATCGAAGGAGATTACCTCATAAACAGCATCAACAAGAATGTTCCAATAAAGCCAATCGGCAGCTGGTCAAGAGGAGTCCGAAGTCATCTTCTGGTGAGAGTCAACTTCGAATCTTCGAGCTCAATAGGAATGAAATAGACTTTGGTATTGGAAGTCTTATCCATACATGGACTTGTCTCCATGCCTCAGGATATTTTTTAAGTGGTCGAAATGAAATTTTCCCCAGTCTTTTGTTCTCCTTGGCCCTCATTATGGAAATGAAATTAGGCCTTTCGGTCTCTGCCTTACTCAGCCAGCCTTTCCACGATTCTATTTGGCAACAAGAAATTGCGAATTTCATCATAGGGCCGATCCTGACCATAGT